GCACTGGTAACCTGAATAGACTGCGGCTGCCTGGGATACTTCACAATTAATGCTATAATGTTACTACAAGGCAACTGTGAAAAACAAATAAGTGATTCCTTAAAATGGTTCTGAACCAATTCAGATGATTTTTTTTAAAGAATCAAAGTATTATCCAGTTCTTTCTCTCTTCCTTCTGCCCATAGCCTACTATCTAACTACAACCCACTTCCCTAAGTTCCAGATCGGCAAAGCGTTTAAGCATGTGCTTAAGTCCTCCCCTGTTCAACGAAGCACATAGTTTAAGTTTAATCATGTGCTTAAATGCTTCACTTAACAGAGACTGACTCCTTGCAGACTTGGAGCCCTACTCCTAACTTCTAACTAAAGATGAACCTAGCACAAAGGGGTCCTTATCATGGTCCCAAGCACTAAATAAAACAACAGCAACAAGAAATGAAAACCTGGGATCCAAACGGAGCAAACCTCTGGGAGGATTTAAAATTCCCATCCAGCTTGGAGTTTTGTTCTTTTCCAAAAATCTGTCCTTCGCATCTGTCATTTTAACATATCACTATGCATGGGCCTGTCAGAGTATTTTAAATGTTCCACAAAAACAACAAGGAGTCCGGTGGCACTTTAAATACTAACAGATTTACTTGAGCATAAGTTTTCGTGGGTCACACTGTACACTGATTTCAAAGGAGCTACTCTTTATTTACACGGATGTAAGTGACATCTGAGTCTGATTCTTACTAATCGAGTAATGTTTGCTATTAAAAAAAGGATGCACAATTTTGTTGTCTCAGATCCCTTTATATTTTTTATTTAAAACTGCAATATTAGAACATAAGAGGCCATACTCTTAGCTGGCAATGTGAATCAGCATGGCAATGGAGCTATGGTGATTTACACCAGCTGAGGATCTGGCCCATTTACTCAGCTGAACATGGAGCAATAGACAATATGGACCGGATCCTCAGCTGGTGTGAACTGATGTAGCTCTGCTGGCTTCATTGGAGCTATGAACATTTACACCACTTGTGGATCTTGCCCCATCTACACATTTTCAGAAGGGTTGCTTCCCTTACGTGGGTGAGATTCTTGAACTGCAGGCACAAATCTGAGTATTTTACACCTCTAACTAGCTAACTGAAAACATAAATACAGGGAAAGTGCATGATTTTGGGTTGGAAACCTTGGTTACAAAGGGGCGGTCAAGCCCCAGAGTGGCTGGAAATATACATCTGAGACTCTGGAGATAATAAATCAGCTGCTTTTTAAGCTTAAGAACTAACTCTATTGCCATGGAAGTCCAAGGGAGTTTCAACATTGACTTCAACGGGAGCAGTCAGACCAACGCTGAGCATATTTGAAAATCCTTCCCTAGATTCAAGTTATCTTAACTGAAACTACAAAATCAAGATGGAGTCTCCTCTAAGCTCCATAAAGAACTGAGTTCTGACAATGTATTGAAAGATGCTCCCAGACTGCTGCACTGGGCAACACAGTATGGGGAGGAGGTGAGCAGCCCTCAGTGGTGAAAGAACAGGTTAAGGAATATTTAGAAAAGCTGGACGTGCACAAGTCCATGGGTCCAGATCTAACGCATCCAAAGGTGCTGAGGGAGTTGGCTGATGTGATTGCACAGCCATTGGCCATTATCTTTGAAAATTCGTGATGATCGGGTGAGGTCCTGGATGATGGGAAAAAGGCAAACAACAGTGCCCATATTTAAAAAAGGGAAGAAAAAGAACCCAGGGAACTACAGACTGATCAGCCTCACTTCAGTCCATAGCAAAATCATGGAGCAGGTCCTCAAGGAATCCATTTTGAAGCACTTGGAGGAGAGGAAGGTGATCAGGAACAGTCAACATGGATTCACCAAGGGCAAGTCATGCCTGACCAACCTGATTGCCTTCTATGATGAAATACTGGCTCTGTGGATATGGGAAAAGTGGTGGATGTGATGTATCTTGACTTTAGCAAAGCTTTTGATACAGTCTCCACAGTATTCTTGCCAGCAAGTTAAAAAAGTATGGATTGGATGAATGGACTATAAGGTGGATAGAAAGCAGGCTAGATTGTCAGGCTCAATGGATAGTGATCAACAGCTCGATGTCTAGTTGGCAGCCGGTATCAAGCGGAGTGCCCCAGGGGTCGGTCCTGGGGCCAGTTTTGTTCAACATCTTTATCAATGATCTGGATGATGGGATTAATTGCACCCTCAGCAAGTTTGCGGATGACACTAAACTGCGGGGGGAGAGGTAGATACGCTGGAGGATAGGGATAGGGTCCAGGGTGACCTAGACAAATTGGAGGATTGGGCCAAAAGAAATCTGATGAGGTTCAATAAGGACAAATGCAGAGTCTTGCACTTAGGAAGTAAGAATCCCATGCACCGCTACAGGCTGGGGACAGACTGGCTAAGCAGCAGTTCTGCAGAAAAGGACCTGGGGGTTACAGTGGACGAGAAGCTGGATATGAATCAGCAGCGTGCCCTCGTTGCCAAGAAGGCCAACGGCATAATGGGCTGTATTAGTAGGAGCATTGTCAGCAGATCGAGGGAAGTGATTATTCCCCTCTAATCGGCACTGGTGAGGCCACACCTGGGGTACTGCATCCAGTTTTGGTCCCCCCACTACAGAAGGGATGTGGACAAATTGTAAGGAGTCCAGCGGAGGGCAACAAAAATGATTAGGGGGCTGGGGCACATGATTTACAAGAAGAGCTCAGGAAACTAGTCTGCAGAAGAGAAGAGTGAGGGGGGATTTGATAGCAGCCTTCAACTACCTGAAGGGGGGTTCCAAAGAGGATGGAGCTCGGCTGTTCTCAGTGTTGGCAGATGACAGAACAAGGAGCAATGGTCTCAAATTGCAGTGAGGGAGGTCTAGGTTGGATATTGGGAAACACTATTTCACTAGGAGGGTGGTGAAGCACTGGAATGGGTTACCTAGGGAGATGGTGGAATCTCCATCCATAGAGGTTTTTAAGGCCTGGCTTAACAAAACCTTGGCTGGGATGATTTAGATGGTGTTGATCCTGCTTTGAGCAGGGGGTTAGACTAGATGACCTCCTGAGGTCTCTTCCAACCCTGATATTCTATGATTCTATGCCACAGTCAGTCAATGAGCCACCAGACAGAAACATTACAGTCACCAGAACACCTCTTGTTAATCGATCATACCATGAATCCAGGACACTTATCTAGCAAGGTATGAGATTTTACTTTTATTGGCTGCTTGTTCCTTGGTACAACTGCTCAGTGGGAACTGGGGGGTGCTGAGGATATCTCTGGAATTGGCTCACAAGTACTGTATATACATTGAGTTTTAAATCTCATTTGACAAACAGTACTGCATTGCCTCCTAGCATGCTGCTATAGCACTGGCTCAGTATAGACTTGGAGGAATGAGTATCAATCATGCACATCACTTCTTGCAGCACCTAGATGTTCTTGAAAAGTACAAACTATATCTAGCTCTGCTCATCTTAAGAGATTTGACAAGATCACTGCCTGATGTGATACCGTACAACTGCAGGCCACAGTATCATTATTACCTGCCAATTATAATAAGAACAATAATGAAATACCATTTAATTACTGTGCTGAAAATAAGTTGACTGAAATGTAACAGCTATGTATCATCATTAGAGAGCTGTTGAGTCTCAATGAACATGTTTTAATAAACAGTTGGAATTTAACTAGCAAACAATGACTTGTGCCACTAAATGACTCTCAGAGATTTAATGAGACTGCTACCACTCAATTATTAAGATTTTATTTATTGAGATGCAACAATTTAAAATAGATTTATATTCCTTATTCCAGAGGGAGACACATGCTAGAATAAAAATGTGGCGAATAATCATTTGGTAATTTACCATAATCTTATTGAACCTAATTTAAATGGATAGTAAAGTCTATTTAGAGCAGTTGCTTTTTTTGTTGGTGGTGAGATTTTCATTATAAAATTACAATGCTTTGCAAAATTTGTGACTCTCCATACAAACTAAAGTTAAAGTCACCAATTACAAACAATGTCATTAAACCAGACAGGTCTCAATTCAGCAAATCCCTCAGGCCCAGACTTTTAAAGGCATTTAGCTGTTGCTGTGCTTAGTATTGCAACACCCAATGGCTTAAGGAGCCTAATGGAATTTTGGCTTCTATGTGCCTAAATCCCTTTTGAAAATGAGATTTTAGGCTCCTAATTCAGTTAGACATTACTGTGATGAGGGCAGCAATGCCTAAATACCTTTAAAAATCTGGGCCATAGGCAAGTGCTAAAGTGTTGTGTTGAATAGGGCTGCACTTGAGAATGTGCTTAAGTGCTTTGCTGAATCAGGGCCGTAAAGATCAGTTCCTCAGAATATTAGTTTAAAAACAAACCTAATTTTGTATCGCCATCAGGACACTTTATTACTCTCTGTTGCTGAGGTCTCTAGAAATGATTGTGGGAACTGGTATAGGAAAGATGACTGACTAGGTGCAAGCCACATGGCAAAAATTCAACTGAAATCAATTGGTAAAGCTTCCCTGGCATACCAGACTTTTAGTAGTAAATTTTCTTGACTCTACAAGTGTATTTAATATCCTGTGTCAAAAAGAAATCCATCTGGAACATACCTCCCAAAATATAGGCTTGCCTCAGTAAAACAAAATGTAAAATTAATGAACTATTTCTTTTAGCTGGCTTGAGTTGGAGATGCTCTGAAGTTACAGTTTCAGAGTAACAGCCGTGTTAGTCTGTATTCGCAAAAAGAAAAGGAGTACTTGTGGCACCTTAGAGACTAACCAATTTATTTGAGCATGAGCTTTCGTGAGCTACAGCTCACTTCATCAGATGCATGTGTATTTTCTAAATATTTCTGACAACTCTAAAAAGTGATCATGTAAAAACTTCTTTATAAGCAATTGTCCTGCTCCGTGTGTGTGTGTGTGTGTGTGTTTTCAGTCATATCTTCTTATTTTTCAAACTAAAAAAAGTTTACACTATGTTGTACTTTTTATATTTTAGTTCTGCGGATTGTAGGACTAACACTGCTCTGGGTGAGTAAACCAGATTCTGTTGGGGCTAATGAATCAATGTGTAAGCAACATGCTGATTGCAAAATCTTTATTAATGGTGATGAGTGAGCCAGGAAGAATAGCGTTTGACTTTCAGTTTGCAAAGCTTAAGTTTGCAAAGCTGGCAGCTAAGGTAAAAAAACATTCTACATGTAAACTGAGAAGATTTGAGGTCAGGGAGACCTAATAAACATGGAGTCCAATGAAATAAAAAAAATTGTCAAAGTCACTTTTCAGAGTAGAATCTTCCTGTAAGGGCATAAAAAGTAACGTGTTAAGTGAGCATAGTTAATCTACAGGGCTTGAATGTTTAGGCCAGATGCAGTACTTCCCTTTATTTAAATATGTTCAGCTACCAATGACAGCAATGAAAGTTAAATCTATGAATGGAGGGCCTTTTCAGAAAATTAGTGTGCTGTTTGTTCTGCTCTCACACATTTGGGGTGTGGGTGAATTTTTTTTTTTTTATTATTTATTGGCAAAAGGGGTCTGACTGAGAGCCCTGGAAAGTGAAATCTTTTTTTAAGCCAGAAAATAATGTACTGCTCTGAGAGTAACACATAGAGCTTTCGCTGCCCTGTCATGGTGTCTGAAATTGTAACCTGGAGGAACCATCACTCTGGAAGACAGTTCAGTCTCTGTGCTAGTTCATTCCTTGACCTAGCCACTCAGTGCTCAGGAGGGTGACAAGCAGGGCAAAGGCTGGTGATTTGTGTGTGGTGGGATATCATCTGCTAGGAACTGGACTGTGCCCACCAACATTATTTCAGTATAGGCCACCGAATGGCCTTCAATTGAGAACATCTTGGGGAAGCTGTAAACCTCAGCAGTTCTGTTCAAGCGGGTGGTGTTAACCACAGGAAGGACAGTCCCATGGTTCAGACACTAGCTTAGGACTTGGGAGATGTGGCTTCAATTCCTTTCTCTGCCAAAGACTTCCCATACGACTTTGGGCAAGTCACTTAGCTTCTTTGTGCCTCAGCTTCCCAGCTGTGAAATGGGGATAATAGTACGGCCCTGCCTCACAGGGGTGTTGTGAAGAGAAATACCTTAAAGACTGGGAAGTGCTTTGAGATCTACTGATGGAAAGTGCTATGATTTTTCAACTGGGTCTAGCCACGATCTTCAGCTATGGACAAGAAGCATGTGGGGGAGACACAAAAGTACCTCTGTGTTTGCTTCATCCTGGGTCAACTGTGCAGCAGGCCAGTCCCCAGAGTAAGATAAAGCAACCTGAAGACTGCTCTAACTTTCACTGGTGGTGAATGGCCTCAAGGACCACTGGAAATTGCTGGTGCACAAGAAAGCCTCGTCCATGGACTGTATGATATGGAGAGGTGCAGAAGCTGTTACATCAGCCCTGTGTCACTGAAGGACCTCCCTATGGTGGTGTTATCCTTCTAGGGCTACTGAAGCTGAGTTTAGGGGTTTTACATTGGTGATGCTATGCAAAGCATCTGCAGTACAGCCCAAGATCTGGGCCATTTTCTCTCTACCACTCCGAGAACACCTGATCTGAAGAAAAAATCCAAGGATGAAAAATGGATGATTTGACTTAGAGGAGGTTAAAAATGATGGCAAAGTTTAAAACGTAAAGACCAGAATTAAATCTTGTGAGATAATGGTAGCTTTCCAAAAATACAGTATGTATAAGGAACAAAAATGCCCAAATGGCTGAGGACAAAGATATTTGACATTTAGATCTGACTGAGTGGTTGGTGAGGGCAGGGAATGCAAGAGTTGATATGGGCACAAAAGCACCTAATGGTGTTGTGTGAATGGATAGCACCAAGAGAGACAGGTGTAGCTTTTCTTGGAAGTTGGTTTCTCAGCCACTGCATGATGCTTGTGGGCATGGTCCAATGTCCATTGATGTCACTGAATGATTCTTTCATTGAGTAAAATGACTAATCCCAAAGCTCCAGAAAAATGGACGTCCTTTTTCCAAGTAGGAAATAATTTTCAATCTTTCTTTTCAATAATTGCCTCTTTTAAAATGGCACTGGGACAGTTTTCCCTGGCGAGTGGGATACCAGGAAAGGAAGTAAGAAAGGGAAAACAAACTATAAAAGACATGGGATCAACATAACTGAAAATATGAAAGAAGCAAGCCAGGGTTAGCCAACTTTTGTGTTCTGTCATTTGAGACCATTCCTTTAAGACTGTGGACTCGGAGGCTCAAGGTCAACCAAAGGGCAGTGGAATTTTTGTGTGTGTGTGATAGAGAGCGAGCACACAGTCAGTATAGTTGTAGCTGAAATCTCCTGAGTATCTAGCGTGACCAGATATCCCAATTTTATAGGGACAGTCCTGATATTCGGGGCTTTGTCTTATATAGGTGCCTATTACCCTCGACCCCCATCCCAATTTTTCATACTTACTGTCTGGTCACCCTATGTGTGTCTGTTACTAAGGGTATAACTACACTGCAAAAAAATCCCACGGCAGTGAGTCTCCGGGCTTGGGTCTAAGCCTTGGGCTCACAGGTGCTAAAAACAGCAGTGTACACTTTTCTGCTCTGGCTGCATTTCAGGCTCCAGTCTTGGCACTCGAGCTCCAGCAGGAACCTCTACACTTCTATTTTTTTCGCCGTAGCACGAGCCCCGCCAGCCCAAGTCTGTAGACCTGGGCTCTGAGACTTGCGGCCGCAGGTTTTTTTTTTTAGAGTAGAGACATACCTAAAAGAGGCCTGCTGAAGCCCAGACTCAGGAGTTACAAAGGATTTGGAGTTCACTTCATCAGTCCAACGGGCATTTGTTCGAGTGAACAGCATCAAGCTGAAAGATTCAAATAGTGAACTGACATTCAGAACCTGCCTGCATGACGACTCCGTTAACCAGGTTAATTACTCATTACAGCTGCACATTTTAGAAACAAAGGGCTCCATTGATGTCTATGGAGTTGCACTGAAGATGGATTTGGTCCCTGGAGATGATAGACAGGGTCACTAAATACAAAAGGACAGTCATTGTGACTTGGGTTCTAGTCCTCTCTGTGCAGTCTTGGGCATTTAATCTGTCTTTGCCTCACTTTCCTCATCCGTAAAATGGGGGTAGCATCACTAAGGGCTTGTTGCTATGGCAGTTTAGTGCACAGCAGCAGGGGCCACAGCTAGTTAGTGTATGGCAGGATGGAGTACTGTACATTTACACCCCAGCTTGCCCCACTCCTAATCGCCATGTGGACTAGCCCTTATCTACTTCCCCAGTTCTCAAGCATGTTAGGGGGATCCTTGTGAAGTGCTCCGAATGTGTAAAGTACTAAGTACTTCTTCTTATTAATCCAGGATTATTCCCCACGCTGCATGTTGTAGCGTTCTATCCAGTCTGCTTGTAAAAACCATGTTATTGGGTTTTGCCATTACCCTCAAGTGACTAATACACAATGTAATAGATTGCCTGCTCAGGATTTATAATGAGGGCAATCACCAGGTTCCCTTTTCCTTCCTCTTTTTGAATACTGGTGGTAAATTTTTCCCCACCCCCACTTCTGTGGACTCTCACCATTTCTTCATGATTTATCATAATAATTGGTAGTGATTCAATAACTTTGTTAGCCATAATTAATGAATGTTAGCAATTCTCTTATTAGTCAACAATACATATCATTTGGACCCCCTGATTTTTCATATTTTCCAAGTATTCCCTCACATGCTTTATTTCAATAGCTATTTTATAAGGTCTTCATTATTTTCTAATTATCCAAATGGCTTTTCCTTGTATTCATTGTTCAAGACAGATTTTAAAAGGAGTTAAGTATCTCAGTAATTTTACAGTCATTAATTTCATGCCAACCCTCATTTATTAGATATTTGTACCTCTTCTGTAAAAAGACACACACAGAGAGATGGCTACATACATTTAATTTCTTCAGATAATTTGATACAATAAATAATTTTCTCCTCAATGCCATTGTAAGTCTGTGTTTTCAGTATAATACTTTTTCCCTCTACAAATTAGACTAAAAATCATTGCCAAACGGTGTTCTAGAGAAAAATAACAACATAATTCACACAGGGATTGGATATTTATATGGATAACAAGAATATCCAAAAAGAAAAGGAGTACTTGGACCTTAGAGACTAACCAATTTATTTGAGCATAATCTCTAAGGTGCCACAAGTACTCCTTTTCTTTTTGCGAATACAGACTAACACGGCTGTTACTCTGAAAGAATATCCAAGTTTTGGAAGGATATAAAACCTTATTCTTCAGGATTTATGACAGGATTAGGATGAGACTAGAACTGGCCAGGAATTTTTCACTGAAATAATTTTTTGATGAACAATGCCCTTTACCCAAAATCTTGTGTTTTGCAGAAAAATGATTTTCCATTGGTAAAATCAAAATGATATATTTAGTTGTGGGTCAGTTTGAACCAAGTCAAAACATTAAAGATTGTTGAACTGAACTGAAACATTTTGTTTAGAGTCAGTTCAACACTTACTTAGGGTACCACAGTGCCTTAGGGGAGTTACAGTTCTGGTGCTTTATGCCCATTGTCTCTTTCGGGCCAGGCTCTTCAGCTGGGCTACATGTCCTTCAGTGTACGGGATACAGCTAGTTGCAATTCTTGATCACTGGTTCAAATCCATCTAATGTCCAAAGTGATGAAAAACTGCCACCTTATATCAGCTGTTTGGTGATCTGGGTGCAATGAACTAATAGCCACATTCCCGTCCCAGTAGACAGAAACCCATAAAGGATGATCTTCTGGTTAAGGCATCAGACAGGGACTTGGAAAATGGGTTTAGTTTAGAGCTGTGTGAATAATGGAAATTCTGAAGAAGAAGAAAAAAGATTGTTTCTGGTTGATCTGAAAATGAAATATTTCAAAATTTTCAACAAATTGAAAAAAAGATTTGTTTGATCCAAACCAAATACCCCATTTTGAGTTTGAGATTTTTTTTACCACATTTGTACATTTAAAAAAAATTAAAGAAAATTTTGAAAAAAATTTTAAATCCAAATGTCAATACATTT